ACTGGCGTTAGCTCTGTTGGTGGCAGGGAAAATTACTAAATGTTGTAAATGTCACATTCACAGCCCCCAGGGAATACCGCCAACAGAACAGAGAGCGAGCAAACTGAATACCACATCCTTATTGCAACCGCATTACTGTCATGGCAGTCTGCGTGCGCTGCACTGCATGTGAAGAAAGAGAAGTTTGCAAAAAACTGAGGCACTGAGGCTTCTCACCATGCCAGCTACGCTGAGCCATAGTGGCATTTGCTAACATTTTAATTTTTTCACTCCACGTAACTTTTGCATTGCTGCGCGGAAAAACCAGTCAAGCGCCCAAACCAAGCATCGACAGTCGGGCGGCATCGGACAGTGGTGCAAACGCGAAATTTACTCTTCAAAAAAGTCTACAGCCTACAATTCTTGAAAGATTTTAAATTTTTAGTTAAGTAAAAATTTAATTTTTTTAACTGGAATTTATTAATATGGAACCGTACGCAATTTGAAAAAAATATATATATGTATTTTTCACTTAAATTTCTGATAAAACCGGCAGTAACTACGTGGATAATTCAATTCGTAAGAGCTTTAAGGAGCTACTTTTAAAATTGTTATTTGTTTACGCAAAAAATTTTAGCAAAATGTGTTGAAAAAGGAGGACAATTTGAAGAAAAGAAATTCTCCTCCTTTCTATTAATGAATGTTACTTAATAAAACTAGTTAAAAACAATTGCAGGGTTCTCCTCAAAATTGCACAAGAAAAACTTCAAATGTTATAAAAAAATGTTCACCAATATTCATTTTCGTTGTTTTTTAATTTTTAGAAAAATTTTAAGTAGTGGTCCACTAAAGTAGAAGTTTCAAGTGGCTAAAAGTTCACGTTGATTTTTAATACTTTTTTTGATATGGAAGGTGCGGGAAAATTTAGGCGGGCCACACCCATTTATGGTCAAAAAAAATTATATTGGTGGATGCATTGTTCTTGCGAAATTTCTACATCACACATGCATTCGTTGCATAGTTATAAATTTTGGTACGCTAAAATTGAAAAAGGGCACACTGTGCGGCGGCTCGGACGCAAGCCGCACTCGCGTGTGACCACGTAGCATGAGGTCCCAGCACTTTGCACATTCGCATTTATAAAAAAATATGTATTTATGTGTGTGTGTGCGTGTGCGTGTATGTACTTCCGTACCGTTATACCATAACGTATATACTCAATCAACGGCATCGGGTTTCGTTTGGTTTCTCTAGAGTTTAATTACTATGATTATGTCTGGGACATTGGATACATTTGTTGTATCTTGAGTACTGTTTGAATTGCCAGAATGATGGGTGGCGGGATTTAATGGGGGGGCGTAGTGTTGACTGATGCTGCGAGTGGCAAGCAAATGTCAGTGGGCTTAACCCAACGCAGCGCACTTTTCATAGTCCTCCGTGTGGACGTAATGTTTCACCATTTTTTTCTCGACGCTACATTCGCCTTAGCTCTTACCACAATTACAATTTTTTCTAGTGATGTAACTTAATTGCAGACGAAAATGTTACCAAAAGTTTCATATTTAATTAATTTCCGAATATTTTCGTGTGTAATAAAGTGAAGGCAGCTCGTGGCTGCACATATGTAGGCACATGCATGCGTTTATTCAAAGCTCAGTTAACTTTTAGTTATTGAGAATCGAGATATTTGAGTACAACGAAATGGAATAAAAATTCATAGCAAACTCTCAAAATACGGATTACAAACTTTTACTGGTTTTTATTTACTTATAGATTACTGAAGTTTCCTTTTGAGATTTTAAATTTTCATACATAAAAAAATTCCGCACAGGCGTTGAATGAGCTGTGGTTGGTTGTTTGGTAGAAGCGGCTAGAAGGCTCTAATTGGTGTTGATATTAATCTAAATCTTTATGTTAGTAATGAAGCATTTGGAAATCTCCTGAACATTTCGGATGAAGAATCTTCCTTATGTGTGTCAATGCCGGGCACTCGGAAAAATAATATGGAACAGTTTCCTTACTTTCGTCTAAATTGCAGCTACTGCAGCAGCAGCGTGGGTTGTGCGAATGGCCATTTTGACAGCTGTTCCATTGTCGTGGCTGTTAACCTGACTATTTCTTATAAGTGACAACTGTTAATTTACGGTAGAAAAAGTTGTGCTACGATTTTGAAAATAAAATTTGTGTAATTGAAAAATCACATCTCACAAGATTTCCCAATACACTAGACGCCAAATGAAAGCGTACACCTTTTTCTATATGGTATTCACAATTATTTTCATGGAAAATTATTTGCGTTAATTATTTATGATAATATGGTTAATTCTACTATATAAACCATATATATTTAAATCAAAGTTTGACACTTAATATAAAGCTCACAAAATTTCAAAAAAAAATTGTTATCAAAATTTTCAACTTTTTATTTAGAATTTCTAGAGAATTTTCGAGTTTACAGCTCCGTAATCAATTTTTGTTTAATGAAGTTCAAGTTTTAACCAGCGAAAAAATCGTATTGACTTTTGCTTTTGCCGTTTTTTTTTATATACCAAGTGCAATTTACGAGAGCTGGCGTTGATGTTTTGAAATTTTGTTGCTAACGGTATGTATGAAAATGCCAAATAGAGAAAAACTTGATAACTTCGTGGATGGTAGGGTGAAGGGAATGAGCCACACCCGCATTGCCACCACCTAGTTGTGGTGAGTTGTGGGTAATTTCAGAAAGAAATTAGCTAAGAACTGCAAAATAGCAATTCATACATATCTAAAAAGTTATTTTCTGAGGTCCATTTAAAGCGTATACGGGACCCCTCAAGGCCTTCAGGCATTACTTCGGCTCTGCATTAAATTTTTTTCTAAACGAAACGTCACAATTATTTCGCCCGAAGGCCATCGAATAACGAAAGTTAATTTTTTCACCCCACCTTAACATACCTTCGACAATAGAAAAATGTTGTTCAAATACGAACAGAAGTTTAATGATTTTTCGGGAGCTTTAATCTACTGACTTTAGGGTCGTAGCAACTGAGGTGTGGTGGGTTAGTACTATAACGGTGTACTTGACGTCATGGTACATTGAAACAAAGGAATTGTCCCCTTGACGAAGGCATCGATCTATTATATAGTACCTACATTTTAAGATCCGCCATTACCGTACAAGAACGAATGACTTAAAATTTAAACAAATCCAACTAGATCGTCCGCCTTCATCGAATAATTCACATTTATGAAATTTTTAACGCTTTGAAACTAACCAACACTTTATGGAAAACTTTGTCCTTTGACACATTCCACTAATGTTTATACACCGATGAGAGCTGTTTTTTTGATATACACACATATGCATCCAGTTATTTACGTACCCCGTAGGAATTAGGAACACATAATAATGCCTTACCAGAAACTTAATCTTCACCCAGCGGTCCATTGCACTGCCATGATGAGTATGCCTTGATTTAACAAAGGCGTGGCCGCCTTATGGAAGTAGGAGTTTAGAATTTACCTTTGGTATCAGAGGTACTTTTAAGCCGCCTTATAAAAAAAGGTACGGTGAATGTAGAGAGTCCTTCGGAGTAGCTCGGCGTTCGCAAGTATCTTAACTACCGTAACTTACAACGTAAGCGTCATCGAAGTTGTTCATTTAGTGTTTTAGTATTAGACTAGGAGGAGTACCAGTTACTGTCGAAATTCGACCGTTTTTCTAGTTGTTTAGACCCTTGAAGCTGTATACTCACTTAGCTTTGGAATCAAAACATGACTACAATTTTTTTTATGTCTTTGAAGATCTTTGGAGGGCTTTGGCAGAACTTGGAATTGACACGATACATTCCAGTTTGTCGATTAATTTCGACAATGTGACACATATCGATTTTTTAATGAATTTCAAAAATTTTTATATCTGATAACTCAAAAAAACTCGATAACTCGATTAATTTCGATAACTTGGAAATTTATATATCTCGACATAAATCGATAACCCAATAAACTGTGCATCAATTCATAGATTCCGATAACTCTGTTAATTTTGATAGCTCCATACTTTTCGAAAGCCATCGACAAATTTCGAAAATTCATTATACTCTTGTAACACGATAAAAATCGATAAGTAGTGAAAACTCAATGACTTATATAACCTTGAAATTCAATCCATAAATATCAATAATAACTTTCGATAGCTAAATTTTTTATGACTTAATTTATTTCGATTCCAATCGAAAAATTTCAATAAAATGTCTCGTTGATTTCATTTTCGTCTTTATCTTCAATTCTGCCATCACTTTAGTGTCTTAATCGTTCACATTTACTTCTTCATCATCACATTTATCTTTATAACGAAGCTGCATTTCAATAAAGAAGTAAAAAAAATATGCGTAAACAACTCAAATTAAACAGGGTGCAACAACAACTACTTATATATTAATTACGGAAAATTTTAAGTGACGATTTTGGGCGTAATTTTGAAGTAATAAAATTTCTCCAGGATCTACAGAAAGATACCTTTCCAACGGTGTTCTTGATTTTAAAAACGAAAACGAACAGTGACAGAATTTATGTTAGTCTTTTAAGTGCAGATAACATTGGTCTTGCTAACAATTTTGGTTCTAAAAGCTGAAAGAAAACATGTGTATGACCTCGTAAGGTTCTTAACCATTTTCCCAGTGGGTATGTATGCTATATCTACGTTTGTTCGTCAAAGAAGTAAATATATGTACAATAAGTATGTACCTGCATACACAGCGATTAGAGTACACCAATAGAATAGTCTAGTTGTATCAAACTTCCATAATATCCCATACTTATATTTAAATATCGTAAGTATTTATGTATGTATGTATGTATATAAAATGATTTTGTTTCTGTTAAGTTTCTCTTTTCGCTTAAAACCGCTAGCATGTATATGTACACCTTCATGCACACACACACACATACACATACATAAATGCACTTTTGTTCGACTTATCTCAAATATTGTCAATTTTTTTACCTTTCATTTTTTTGTTTGCTTTCTTTTCATCTGATAGATTTCAATATGCAAGCAGAGGCTGCTATACCCGAGGATATTTTGGACCAACAACACATAGACGATGCCGATGCCATTGATGCGGCGGACAGTATGCAATATGTTGGTGAAGGCGATATGGATAGTTATTCGGCAGTTGAACCAGAAGCAGATATTGTAAGTGGAGTAAGGTCATAATCGCACAGAAAGCCATAAGCATCTAGTGGGTATACAATTTTGTTAAAAATAAATCGAATATGCACCCCAAATTCCCTCAAAAGGTGGAAGAAGGAAAATAAGAATTTTACATTTTTTTCAAGCCGGTGGTTGTGTATTTACATACATACATACATATAACTATCTATACCATACATATTTATGTAGGTACATGCATACATATGTGCTTGCGCTCGTAGGTTTGTGCGTAAGATGCTTTACTTTAAGTATGATTGAATGAATGACTTTTCAAACTATAGTGTACTTGAACCAAGATGTACACAGAATAACCACAAAAACTTGACACAGCTTATTTAAGAGGTGGCACACACATTTGTGCACAGTATACTTGTGTGCTCATACACCGGTGCTGCTGGTAGTGAAACATCAATTTCACATGGAATCTTAAATTTTCTATCATCCATAGAATCTATGTATATATATTTACATTTTTTAATTTTTGTATGAAAAAAGATTATTAAATTGTAATACATACCTGACTGATTCACTAACGAATTGCTTAAATATTTCGAGCTTAGTACTAGCCATAAATTTTGTGCTTTCTTCTATGCAAAATCCTTGACCTTCAACCTTACCAACTGTTAAATTAATATCACTTTACACATCATAATAATTTTCAATTTCACCTCTTAGCGTGGAGTAATTCTAAATCGACAGGAAACTCGACGGAATACGATACGTTAATTACCACTCCACGAAACCATGTCTATCTTGTACATCCGCAAGACGGCAATAATTAGGTAAAAAAATTAAGAATGCGACCACATATCGAATCATTCTCCTTTACTGAGTCACCGAAATTTTCGCGAGTAATTTACGGAAGTTAGACTATACCTCTACTCTCCATACATGACAGAAAGATATGTATGTAAAGATGCCACAGACCGAGATTTAGGGTCGACGGCCATCCAATAGATGATTCTATGCTAAACGACAGGGCAGTTTGCGAGATTTGCTGCAGTTAGCTCACACAACTTTAACTTAAGTTTTCATTTACCCGACCAATATAGCGTTTTCAGACCTCTTACGAACTATTTTGACAGCCAGGCTGCTATTAAATCTTTAAAATTCAATCGAACAACGTCCAAGGTAGCCGCTTAATGCAGAAAAGTTCTAAACCCGCAGACCCAGAAACCTCCCTTAATCGTTGTATGAATTTTTGGGTAAAGGGACGTCTCTATTAAATCGCTGACAAGAGAAGAGACAAAGTTTCAATGGTAAATTCAGCTCTTAAAGTGGGCATATCTCTAGTCTCTTGCAAATTCAAAGTGGTGATTTGCTTCATCGAAGAGGTAAACACCAGACGAGCTACGAATCCCACAAATCCAACCAAAAGTCGATGGAAAGCCATCTAAAGTTCTCATATGTCTTGAGCGCTCCTCTTTAAGGTTAATAGTTGTTGTTGAGGAATTCTTTCGCCAGTCGCATCTCAAAGCGGTTCGCGTGCAACTCAAAAACTGGATGGCTGAAAAGTTTGCTCTTCACATGGTATCGGACACAGGACACCGGAATATACCCAACAACGAAAAAACAGACGGACTGCAAATTATATACTTTCGTGCCCTACATAGATACGGGCATACATATGTAGGTGTGTTGGTGTCGTTACTGACAACCACTTCAACCCAAACTAACATTGTGTTTATAACAAAATATTTACAAATATAAGAATTTAGTATTACTTTAGCTTTTACCATTCTTGATTGCATTGTTTATAGAACTATTCGGAGTAATCGATATAAAAGTTAATAAAAATCCTATAAATTATTTTCTTAATTGCTTTTAACAAAAGGATATTTTTTGATTTCATAAATCTATATGTCAGTAGAAAAGCTAAACTATACACAATTACGCCAATTTATGTATTTTACACAAATTCAGCCCAAAGTTAATATTTTTTGCAATGCAAAGGCGCAACCAACAAGCAACTATATAGAGCAAATGGATATGTATACAAACACACATACATAAGCACTTATATTTGCAGTTACCTACATATCTAAAACCTATTGTCTAGCATGAGCATCTTAGCTATGAAAAGTGTATCATAGGAAAACCATACACCAAGTACTCAAAACAAAAACAAGGTAAAATAAAATAGAATTTTAAAAGAATCAAAGTGCACGAGGCAAGAGAGCAGTCAGTTAGCAGTCAGTTTCACAACGGTAATACATGACAATGCAGCTAAAAAGTCGAAAAATAGGAAATGCAATACCATAACAACGGGAACAAAAACAATAGGAGTATTCTCAAAATCTTGCAAAGCCCTTGCGCGTAGCACCGATTGCACGGATTGCATAACTTGCAAACACAGAACAACAAAATACATACATGGAAAACAACATTTCGCTACAAAATATGCAACGTCGAAACCTATGTATATATTTTGCACAAAAGTATAGCAAGATAAATGCGACCCTGTGCTGGTTGTTTAGTTGTTGAAATTGCTACATATTCCACTCATTTTTGTATTTGATACTCTCGAAAGTGCTCTTGCAAATTTGGAATAGTATTTTTGCATTCCATACAATCCGTGCTACGCGTAAGCCTTCGAGAATACCCCTAATATATATGTATGAACTGAGAGCAATGAAACGCTGAGGTGGAGAAAGTTTTCGTATACAAACAAAAAATTTAGAAGTTTGCTGCCAAAATTTTTAACAATTCAATAGAAAATACAAACAATGCGATGTTCTTGTGTTTGAACATTTTTGCGGAAAGAAATAGCTAAGAAGATGTAGAAAAGTTTCAAACTTAATTGAAAAATTAAAGCACATAGTAGGTTAAAAGAAAACTCTGTCTGAAAACGTGGCTACTAAGTTTAAAATTTTTAATTCAAAACAAAATTAAGTAAGTTGCAGGGTTGGGCGCTTCAAAACGCTTTTCGATTTTTAATCCGCTATTAATTAAGAATTTATAAATGATTTGATTCCTCGACCAAATTAAAAAAAAATAAAAAATATTTGCGATCTGATTCGTCGGACAAATAAAAGATTAAATTTATTTATGATTTGATTTAATTGATGAAGGAAATAAAAAATAAATTTTATTTTCGCGAAAATCCTGCTGCCGTTAGATACAAAAAAGGATTTTTAGTTGGAAAATCACGAATCATATTGCTGTGCTCGATAAATCAGATCAGAAATAATTTTTTTTTTTTTGCCGACGAATAAAAACCCAACTAAATTTTATTTTGTATTTTTCGGACGAATCAAATAACAAATAAATTTTATTCATGATTTGTTTAACGTAACGTAACCCACGATTCTTGGTAGGCCGCACTATGTTCGATTTTACAAAAAAAAAATATAAAAAAATCTCTCGAGCCCGAGAAGAGATTGTGAAATACAGTTAACTGTGTTTTAAGGCTTTTGAAATGAAAAATTCAGAAACAATTTTCTCGTTGGATAGACAAATTACCGTTGACCTTTAAATAATTTTCAAGTAGAGAAGATTTTAAATTTTTTATTTTTTTTTTGACGTGAAAATGCAATGAACTTTTCAAACAGGTTTCAATACATATTTTTGCTTATATCAGGGAATATATTTCCATGGTCGCAACAAGCGAAAAATGCAATTTTGAGCTTTTTAAGTTCATTGAAAGCTGTGTTTAATCTAAACAAAATTCAAAAAATCTAAAATTTAGGTTTTAGGGTCATTTTTATAAGTCTGATTGAATGAAGAACAATCTTGACCTAAAAACCGAACCCCTAAAAAAGAATTTTTTAATTTTCTTTACCAACAAATCATTAAAATCTTTAAAATTTCCATGTCCTTTGTATTATGAATAGTCCATTAAATTTATACTCCCATCAGCTCTTTACTTACGCACGTTTTTCTTTCACTTTATTGAAATTTATGCAGATCCTTGCAGCGCAAAAGTTCAGCACTTCAGAAAGTAGTCGAGAAGAAGAAGAAGAAGAATATCTCGGCCAAAATAACGGTGATGGCGACAACAAAGGCAAAATCAATAAAAACAAAAACGAACATTTAAGAAAAACTGTAAGAAAGCGAAATAACAAATTGAAAAGCGATGCAAACAATGGGGACAGCAACAAAAACAACAGAAAATATGATGACAACAGTGACAACACAGCTTTAAACATGGATCAAATGGATGAAGCCGATGGATCGGACCTTACAGATGAGGAGCCATTCGCGTTGCCCAGTACGCGTGCGGAGAAAAGTTTGAATTTGACGAGAAATCCAAAAGCACAAAAAAATCCCAAATTAATAGCAGCAGACGAAGGAAGTGAGGAAGAGACGACCCGGGACGTGACTGGTCAGCATCTGCAATTTATTGAAAATTTAGTTGCAGAAAAATTTAATAAAGCGTCTGGGCAAACAACACCCACCACCAATGACAAAGCGAAAGAAAACAAATACACTTACAGTAACAACAACATAAAATATGACGGTGATGACGACGACAATGGCAATGATGATAATAATGATGGTGATGATGCTGACAAGCAGCGCGAAAGCGACAAAAGCCACGCTAAATATAAAGGCAACATTATGAGCGAACAAGTAAACAATAAATCACAAATGGAGTACAGCGACGGTAATCAACCGGCGGAAACAGCGATCGGTGATATAGAGGACAAATTTCGTAATGAAGATGAAGATGCATTGCAGGCAGGACAACAGCCGCAACGACAGCAGCGGTGGCAACAGCAGCAACATAAAAATGTGGTAGCGCACGGAGAAAGCCGAGACGAAAGTGAAAAGTTGCCACTCTCATTGATGGCTGAAAATGATGGCGAAGATGCGCAGCAAAAGGGTAAATTCGTTGGAAGGAAATGGAAGCGGCATGAACGAGCGCAAAGTGCCAGCCAAAGCAATGTTTATGATAACACCGACGACGAGGACGACGACGATGACGACGACGACGATGGCAACAGGAATAGCAAAAATCAACATAGTGATAACAACATCAACAACAACAACAGGCACCCACATAAGCGCCATCCGCAAAAGGAAAGTGAAGTTGTTGCAAACACGTACGCACAAATGGCAGCAATTGCAAAGAATGTTGCAAAGCCAAAAAATCAACAACAACAGCTACAACAAAAATATCAACAAGAAAATCTTTCTCAGCACATTGATGAAGTTGCTGACAGCAATGGCAGTAGCGGCAACAGCAACAGCAACAGCAACAACAGTGGTGAAAAGGGTTCACAAGCCGATTACTCAATAACCTATTTTGGCATCTTGGCAAACAGCTCGAAGAAGGAGCAGCGCGAAAAGGCGTTAGTAGTACAAGAACAAGAGGAAGAGCAAGCCGAAATGAAGGAGCTGCTGCCACTGAACACCTCTGAAAATTCGGCCAAAACAACAGACAGTTTTTCCAAAATTGCTGACAGCGATGATGCGGCTAGAAGCCGTGAACCAGTGCATGCAACAAGAAATCAACAGCAACAAAAACAACAGCAGCTGCAACAAAAGCTAGCGGGTAAGTGTTGACTTTAGAAGGCTTTGGCAAAGCAAATATGTATTTATATGCGTATATTTTTAAATGTGTGTACTTAGCTTGACTGTGAGGCAGTGCACGAACATAGATATACATATATACATATATGTATGTGTATATGCATATGTATATATGAAAGTGTGCCAACATACTCGTCCATAAGCTGCTGTTGGTGTTTACCCGAGCGTGTGAGTTTTAGTACTCTGTTGGTTTATTGTTCCTGCAAGTGTTGGCTGCGCGCAATCATGCCGAAGATGTTAGCTGCCTTTAAGCTACCCTCAATGTGTTTAATTTGGCAAAATATTTAGACAACAATATTTGTTGATTGTAATCGGTATTTACGTATACTCGTACGTATAAATAGAAAGTGGAAAGTGTGTTTGCAAATGTATATATGCCGCAGGTTGTGGAGTGTTTAATCACTCGCTGTGATTTTGTTTTCCATTGCTGTACATATAATGATTTAAGTGGGATAAGTATAGTATTATAAAATTAAATTATCTGGTTAGCTGTCCTTGGTAGCGTGGAAAGACTATAAGACAAAGGAGACTGCTTATAATAAGTACTGACTACACTTCGGAGAATGTTTAGGGGTTTTGGGTAGGGTCTCAACCACAATATAATGCCAAAGCGCTAGTTTCCTTAAGAAATATACAAAACCTAACGGGTTTTTCTTTTATGATTTTGTATTCTTATTGATATGCCTTCGTCTTCGTATTGGCCTTCGCAGTCGTCTCGTATTTTCGTTCGTATTCGTCTTCATATTAGATTTCGTATGCGTCTTTGAATTGGTCTCCGTCTCCGTATTTGTGTTGGTGTTCATATACAGTGACGAGCAAAACTGTAACATGGAGTAACACTTTTTATTTCAGCTGTCGCTATCTTTCCAAGTTTTAACGACATTCATACGGTTGTTGTATATTTTTATTGGTACATCTTTGCTTCCTCTGTCATAACGATTTGAAGTCAATTCAACAACATTTACAAAACCAGCAGACAAAAATGTAAATTAAGGCATATGTTACAGTTTTGCACTCATATATTTTTAATAACTTTTTGACAATTTTCACAAAAAAAAAGAATTATTAACACAATGTTCAGTATGCTTTTGCTTTATTTAGTTCCTGGTTGCAATTTGGCATACCTAATGTGTATGTCTGTAAAAATTCTGGAGGTATAGCCTCCCATATATCCTTGGTGTGCTTTCACCGCTCATGTACTCCATTGGACGGACTTGGATACTTAGTAAGATGCGCTTTTAGTTGATTTCGCAAATTCTCGATGAGATTCATGTCCTCGGATTGTGGAGGTCATTTCAAATTAGCAATTTTCTGCTTTTGTTCCAGTCTTTGCGAACATGTTCAGTGTGTTTTGGTTGCTTTTTCAGCAGAAACTCTAATTTTTTCGACTACATCTTGCAAATTTTGTTAAAATATGAACAGATACTGTTCCTTACGCATAATGCGTACAAACGGATCAACAACATTTTTGAAATACAACCCCAAACTATTATTGACCGACCACTGTGATTCACAGTTTGCCTTACATGATGCGCTTAGGCTTAATTTGGGCCTTTGATCCAATACCATGCCCGGCCATCTGATTGAAAGCTATTAATTTAGTCTTGTCAGACCAAATAACCCTCAATTAAATCTTAAAAATGTGTTTTTTATTGCATTCTGTAAGGCCTAACATATCCCAATAGGCAACGGTCCGGGTTTCGTGCGATGCAGCAAAACGCTGCCACACTCGCACATGTATTTTGATCAAATTTGCTTTTTTCTTCTTTTATGATCCATTTTGCTCAATTTGGCAATTTTTCGCCTCACTATCTACTGATTTGCATTCAATTTTAATACCTTAAGCGCTTCTGTAGTAGTGCCTGCAGCGCTACTTGCTACTAAGTTCACAAGATATCGGACTGTAATATATTTTGACAGACTTTCTTTGTCCTTAGTAACACTTTAGGCTATATTTTTTCTCAGTCTTAACATTTTCATGTGGCAAACTCCACAATTTTTTGCCACTTTCCCTGCGGTCCCGCCTTTTCGCAGTAAATCTATTATTTACATTTATGTTTCCTGATTAACCATATTATTTATTGGTGATCACTTCTTGAATAAATTACAATACAGAAAAAAGTCATCTGACTTCCAAATAAGCAAAAGATAACTGTAAAATGCAAAACTGAGAGTGAGTGCAAAACTGTAACATTTGCCTTAACTTACATTTTTGTCTCCAGATTTTTTTATTGTTGTTGGATTGACCTCAAATCGTTATGAGAGCGGGAGTAGGAGTGTACCAATAAGAATATACAACAAAAGTATGAAAGTCGTTAGAACTATGAAAGATAGCGGTGGCTGAAATAAAAAGTGTTACATCATATTACAGTTTTGCTCGTCACTGTACATTCATGTTGGCCATGTATGTATGCGTCCTCGTATTAGTCGTAATAATAGAAACTCCTTCCCCGCAAACATATTCTGAGCGCTCAGAATATATGAGTCGGAAAGGAGTCCTAGGTAAGTAAGAAATATGAGTTTCAAAAACAAACATTTTTTTGCCCTTATATGAATCTTTTAGGAGTCATATATGATCCAAGTTATGAGCCAGCACTTTGTACCAGTATAAAAACAATAACGACCAGAAATTTATATCTAAACTTGTTTATACAGATATGAAAAATAATTAGGAAGGAAAAATAAACAAAATTTAGCTGCAGCAACTGCTATTACATGAATGCTGCAATATATGTACATATAAATGAATTCTTTGCTAACATGGCTCTAAAGTAAGTTCATTAAGAGAGTTGAAGAATAAAGCCAATAAGAGTCACAGAACAGCATACAAGGAGCTCCGAAAGTAGGCATTTATGAGGCCAATAAGAGTCATTTAAGAGCTTCAAAAAGAGTCCAAAATGAGCCGTATATGAGGCCAATAAGAGTCCAATATGACTCATATTGAGGCTCATTTGATGTATTAATTTAAGCTCATATAGGTCGACCTTCGCAGGAAGGGAAACACCCTCATTTCGGACTCTTAAATGAGCTCATTATGAGCACAAAGGTTCCGAAATGGGACTCCTTAAAGACTCATTTATGACTCCAAATGTTTGCTGGGTTATTTTGACCAGTATTCTTTTTTTATTTAATAATTAATATTTATTTATAAATGAGTAGCTCATTATACATATACACCTTGCGACAGTAAGGGCCAAATATAGTAAAATTGCGTTTTTAGTTTTTCACTCTGACGTCATTAATTCAAAAATTATTTAAAAAATTCAGTGGAATGTGCTTAGAGAGAAGTATGGGTATGAAATTGAAAAGGGAATTCTGTTTAATTTAAACAGATTCAATTTTTTGGTTTATACGAACTTTGGCCTTTTAAAATTTTATCATTGAAATTTCGCAATATTTGTTTTTAAAAAAATTATATGTTAAGGACTTATATGCACTAGATAACATCCTCGAATTTCGCTCTTCTAAGATTATCAGCTAGAAAAATTAACTATTCGTCCTTTTGAATCCAAAAAAATTAATTTTTTCTAATTCAAAAGAAATTTTCTCTTAACTTTGGTACCCATATTTTTATTCTACATTGCATTAAGTTTTTTAAACCATTTTTGGAATTAACCTTATCTTTGAAATTACAAAGTGCTCTAAAATAAATCCTGACATTAGAGAGAAAAAATAAAAACGCCACTTTAAATAAAAAGTGGGTTTCAAACCCATTTATTTATTATTTATTTTATGGTAGGAGAGCTTGTCAAACAATATAGAAGCAATTTTTCGATTTAAGTTGTTGAAAAGTAATGAATATCTAAATCCCGTGATTGTGAAAATGACATCCTGAAAATTTCGGAATAAAAAATTAACATCCCTAGAGAATACTGCCAAGGCTCAAAGTTTAAGCCGAAAAGGAAAAAAAAATTTTTTAGAGAGATAGATATAACAGTCATGTATGCTGTGCATATTTTGTTGGCGTATGTGTGTATGCTGTTATCTAAATTAAGTGGTCATGATGGCTGTGCTTGATGAGGTTCTTAGGTGGCACGTGTGGCAACCAACCGAAGTGAAGCTCGCACAGCAAAAGAAGAGCTCTGTACCGAGGTCAGACTTGATTTCAGTTCATCATACGAAGTGCTACTCCAGGGACGAAGAACTATTAGAACGTTTCGCCAGTATAAACAGAGTTAAAAAGAAGAAAAAATATTTCTTGGGATTTTGCAAAAAGTATAAAATTAATTTCACGGAAGGCTTAAATTATAAATAAGAATATATATGAAAGAGGTCAAATAAAAATATTGATTTGTTAAGAAAAGAATAAAACTTTGTAGCTTTGTTTTTTCCTTAAGCAAAAGAAAAGTTGCGTTACACAAATTTGCTAGCTTACAATAAATTCAAATGCAAAGACATTTTTCATTATAAGTAAGTACGTATGTACGTTAAGGTCCTAGTAAAAGTATTCAAAATGAGAATGCAAGACCAAAACAACTGCACTTATTTTCTCCAATTTCATACTAAAAATGATTGCTGTCATTAAATCATTCAAAATATTCTTAAGTTGCTTCATAAGAAACCCTGAACACTATGAGGGTAACAGTGAACAGTGAAAAACTTGTTTTATTTCATTCATCTGAGTCGTTCAATCTCCACAAATAAAGATCAAAACAAATCCTAAACAAATATTTAATTCACTACAATAACATTTGCCTTCGCCCTAAGGGATAACTTGTAATTAATTATGTAACAAAAGTATCTGCTTACTTCTGCTTTGGGCATTTCAAAAAATAGCCTTGAGTTTATGTATTTCTGAGCAGACTGATACTTAAAGCAACAATCTGCTGTACAAATTTTGAGCCAAAATAAACCCTAAAAGTAGTACGGTATAGTATGTATAAAATAAATATAATAAATTGAAATGCTGGCAATGAGTATTCCCTTGAGAACAATTGCGGAAACCAATCACGTAGTTGCTGTGCAGTGGCCCACATTACCATTTCTCGATGCACACTTAAGCGTCGGCAATTTTAACCCAACTAGCCGCAGTATGGTCCCATATACACATATGTAGGTGTGTATGTAGCTGAGAATGAGTTGTTCAGCAACGGCAGCAGCAGCGGCAGCAGCACATTCGAAAATCAGCAATGCAGACAATGTAACCAAAAATAAAGACATGCCATCTACTGTTGAATACGTGAGGAAACGCGAGTTATGTAACTCCTCGCTTTGCGCCACACAAGCGCGTTTTAGTTAGAACTCTTTCGCCTTACTCGCCCATCCGACTATTCAACTGCCAACTTATCAATAACCAACGAAAATTCTGACTGCCGCCAAATACTTGACAGCTAGTAAACTCACAATATACATATTTACGTACATACATATATATTTTTTAGTGCTTGCATCGTACTCTCTCTTAGCATGTTTCAATGACCTTATTTGTGCGCCTCAACTGATTGCAACTCGATTTTGTTACCCAGGCGCATTTACGTGGTTTTGTTGCTCATACGCCGTGTTGGCGCGCTTCCTATGATTTGGTGATTGATACAAACACATGCGAATCACAACAGACTGGTGCTTATTTATATGTACATATATGTGTTAGTATAAATTGCACAATTGGTATTCCATTGAGTGTTCGTAATAGTGAATTATGTAAGTATATATGTACATATGTGCATGAAACAGTTCATGTGGTGTCGAAAACGCCTTGAAATATGTTAGTATGCTGCCACGAAAATTGGCAGCCCGGATATTGATTGAAATGATTGAGTGTGGCACACTACAGGAGATAACAATGTGTGTGCATACGTGCCTATATTCTTTATGGCAATTCAACTGCTATGTTACTAAGACGAATTTTACAGCGCTTTTAAAGAACCATGTGCTTAGTTTGATTGAAAATCTTCAAAGTTACGGCTTTAACTGGGGTTTATAAATATTTAAGGTTTAAAATGGTGTATTATGGTTTGTGGTTAGGTTAGGCTTAAACTTTGTGAAATATTGACAAAAAATTCTAAAAACTGCCGTAAAAATTCCGAGTTTTTAATTCGATTTTTAGAAAGATCTCATTGAAAGCAAGCCAATTAAAATTGTCAGTAAAGTAACAAAACTAGGATTTGTTATCTATGCAAACTTAAGTTTTAAGGTATACACTACTCTAAGGATAGATTTAAGGATATCTCCACCATATACTCTACCGAAGATGAGGCGTCGGCTTGCCCTACAGCAGATCCTCCCTCAATTTACGTACTCTGAACTAGTTTACAGCAAGCTGAATAGTAACTCGTTACGCAAGGTCAAGGGGTTATTTAATAATATAACGCATTATATTTATGGTCTCTCAAGGTATGAACATATCACGCCATGTAGGCAAGAGACTTTGCAAGTGAGATTTTTGAATATCTTAAAGCTCGAAACTGCATATTTTTTACAAGCTCATCACACTGAAATCTCCACATTACCCCTTTGTTAAATTAGAATTTGCCAAATCTGTTCGAGCAACAGATTTTTTTGTCCTTCTCTTAAACTCAATATCATCAACGAGACTGTTCTCTGTCAATGCTATACTTTTATGGAATCTAAGAAACAACTTTAACAGAAGCAACTTCAGTGTCTATTTTAATGAATGCTAATAAATAATTTGGACTGGCCATCTATTTTTAAATTGTTTATTATATTAGTATCCAAGTTTATAGTAGCTTTTTCTTAAATTTACCTTTATGTAATTATTTGTTCTAATATAACCTCAATAAACTGAATTGAATTGAATTGAATCTTGAGTATGCAGTTTCAATTTTAATAAAATAAAATGCAAACTAAAAGAAACTAGGATTCACCTTTAGTTTTTTCTAACTTTTTCTTTAAAGGTGTCGCTTATTTTCTCCGTATAAAAAATCATCGAACCTACTTTGTATAAAAGAAGATAATGCGTAGCACCATAAGCAAAAATAAAAAAGGAACAGTCCAGCGCCTATCGACATCAAAATCGATAATAATATCGATAGCAAAATCGATAGCAAATTCTATAACAAAATCGATCAAAATATCGATTACAAAATCTATAAAAAAATCGATCATAAAATCGATCGATCGACTGTGTTGATTATAAAGTCGAAAACAAAAACAATAACAAAAACGATAACAAAATCGATAAAAATATCGATAACAAAAGCGATAACAATATCGATAACAAAATCGATAATAATATTAACTATTGCAAAAACTGGATGAGCTTCTCCGAAATCCGTTATTTATAAGACTGTTTTGCTGTAGGTTTAGGTCCATATATCAAAAAACATTCATCTTGCACAAGAAAGAAAAAAATATATTCAACATCATGAAGAATAAGCCGCTAAAGCAAATGGCGTACTCAGTTTTTTAATACCACTAACCAGAAAGTTACCCACGCCGCCTAACGTGACTATATGGTACTATTTTTCACGAATTTAACGAAATTAATTCGTTAGGATTTTCCGGATAGTAGTAATTTTGCCAAAATTTAAATACTTAAAATTGTAGCTAATTTGATGCAGTTTTTGAGAAATCGAAAAGATTTTGAATGGAGTTATACTTTTGAGCTTTTGTTTTCTGTTTATTCATGCAATTCTATGTAAAAAAAAAAACATTTGCATTTTCATCAGTTTTATTTTCAAGAAATTGCCTGCAAAGTTCTGGATCCAAACAGCTCTCCATTTATGCATTTTTTTGCAGTTGAAAGTGCGCCTGCTCACCCATTCTTTTTGTGTTTTAGGTCTAATTATCCTTTAATTTTTAAATGTAATTTTAATGAACTCGCCATACGCACATCCTCTTACCTATTCAAGTGAATCAAAATAAAAAACATAATTTCCGTTTAGTTTGATAAAAAGTGGAATTGAATTCCGAAGTTATCAAGATGTTTTCTTTGCTTTCACCACATTTCGTCAAACTTAATCATTCTATAAAATGAACGTAAAAAAGAAACTTCACTGATGCCCACAAGTTCAGTTGTAAGCTTAGATCTTAAGGCAAATATGTGTACCTGTTCAAGTGAAGCGGGGTGTAATATTAAAAGGATTTCATATAACCGTAGTATAAAAATAAAGCGGCACCAGACGCAAAGCCAACAGGTAGTTATGCAGGCGGATATCCGTACACCTTCAAACATATATGCACACACATAAGTAATCTTCAATTTACGAAAGAAGTGCGTATGTGCAACAACTGGAAGTCAAATAGATTCTTGTCAGCAGTCGCATAAAACCAATAGCAATCAATGTTTGACATATGTTTATTATAAAAGCAAAATACTTGTTTATGCTTCACTGAATAATTCTGCCTTTTCATCTCTCTCTTTCGCCCTCTCTTTTCTCGTTTATGCGGCTTGACGTCAACACGCAATCAATTCCAATTTCTAATTACGGACCTACTATGGCAACACTATCGATACACAATGATAACAATATCCGCACAATCACAATGGCAGACGAGCCATCGGATGAGGCTGGTGAATCCTATGGCACACATTTCTCAGCTTTTGAACGCTACAAAGCGCAACGGCGCAACAGTCGGCGCTACGGGCATAAAATGTACAAGAAAAAATACAAGGATTACCTGAATTACGCAACAATATCCTCGCTGACAGCCAGAGAGATGGGGGCGGCAATGGAGACAACAACAACAAAAGCGCCTGAAATATCAACAGCATTGTCGGTTGTGTCAAATGCAACTGCAACGAGTGCTAGGCACACAAACAACGCGATACAAGCAAAATTGGCAAATAGCAGCTACAACGATTACTATCGCAAACACGAGTCAGAGCAAGAGCAGCAAGGGGAGTCGGTTACCTATGCAACAGCACAAAAGCACGCTGAGAAGTTGAGAAAGTATGCGAGGAAAATTGAAGCGGAAAAATCACGTGGATTACCAGCATCGCCAATATTTGTTGTCGGCAATCGAAGTGGTGGTGCTAGTGGCGGTGCCAGCAGCAGCGGCGGAGTTGGTGCAAATCCTTTCTACGAAGGGCAAATAAACTACTACCTACAGACAAGAGATGATGACGAGGACACGGAGGATACAAGAGCGGGTGGAGAAGGCGACAAGTTGGCAGTCGGTGGTGGTGATGAGGGTAAAGAAAATGCTGACGCCGCATTGGTGAGGGAGCGGGAGGAACGCTTGCGGGCGCACGGACGCAGCATGGAGCGCATGATAGCAGCGGACCATAACAACTGGTATCGGCGTGTAAGCCCAGTGCTGCGTAACGGTATTAAAGTCTTGGGCAATGAAGGTAAATATCAGCACGGCCAAACGGCAGGTAGTCCACAGGACGAGCACAAGCAACAAAACCAACCGCCTGAACAGCAGCAACATGCCGCACCACAACATCAGCATCAACATCAGCACCAGCACACGCATCATCATCAACGCAATCACTTTCTACAGCACCATCAGCATCAACATCAACAGCAACATCATCGTCGTCAGCACGCGCACATTCATACGCATGCAAATAAACAACAGACACAGCACGGTATACACTCGCATCGGCGTGGTGGTGGTGGTGGTAATCATCACAAGCATCGTCAACATAGTAAACATTATCAATCAACCGACCGGCGTCAGCACCAGCAAGAACAGCAAAAGCAACACACAACCGACTCACATCAGCACAAATTGACGGCAAGCGCACTCGATCCGCCCTCGCCGCACGCCTCAGCCACACAAGCTGCCGTGGAGCTGGGTATGGTGCAGACACCTATACCGCCGCCGTCATATATCAAGCAACATCAGCAGGAAACTGTCGCGGGTGCGGTTGCAGGTACGAGGGGTAGCGGCGCATTGCAATTAGGCCATCAGATAACCGACTTGGAGGAGTTCGAACGCTATTACGCCAAATGGCCACACTTGGCGCGCGTACAGTTCCAGGTCTACGATGAACATTACCGCGAAGCCCACCCTGAGCTCTATCCTGAAATGAAAGTTGGCGTTGACGACGAGAACGCGGATGCAGATGAAGACTACGACGATGACTACGAGAGCGCTGCAGAGCTGGAGGAGGCACAAAGTGGTCACGATGAGGACGCCAACTTGCCGCCGTACATTAAGAAGTACAACCGCCGCAATAAGCAGCTGCTGAATCTACTAGAGGGCACACTACCACCGCCGACGCGCCCTCCACCCGCCCTTATGCGTAGCTGGTCCAGCTCAATGCTGCAGCCGGGACCGCATGCAAGCAGCCGCAGTGCGGGTGGCGGCAGTATTGGTCGAGTACGCATCGATGACGATTACTTGAAAGAGAAACGCAAACGCTATCACAATCGTGATATCAGCGGTGGCGGCGTAAGCAGCAGCAGCAGTGCAAATGGCAATAGCAAAGCTAACCGCAAAGACGACCTAAATCATTATGAAGATTTATTTGCCCCGCAAAGAGATGTGCCAGCAACCACCAGCGAGGCCACGCGCCAAGCGCCAGCTACGTCAGCTAATAAAGAAGGAGTCTCGGCAGCGCAAAAGTTGCAAAACGACGCAGACGTACTACGCGGTGCGCTCGAAAAGGTAGCGCAATCAACCAACCAGCTACCAGACGATGATGTTAGCATTTCGAGAGACACAGAGACAGACACGGACAGCGACATCGCCTCTTACGCCGCCGACGATGGTGACGTTGACATTTGGCCAAAGGAAATCGAAAATAAATCGAATGCAAACGAATTGGCAGGAAGCGCGCAAATGACATGGCAAATCGAAAAATTAACAACACCCAATCCATTGCACGCGCACCACACCACTGTCGCGCCGAGCTCACCGAAGGCAGCCATTTTTCGTTTGCCCTCATATCCTGCTATAGCCGGCAGTTTTATTGGAAAACCGCGTAGTCGTAGCGCGCAATTCGCACCAAGCGGCGGAAGTCGTGGCAAACTTGCTTTTATCGCGCCCGCGAGCTATGACCTTCACGGCAATCGTTGGAGCAATATTTATGGCAGCGGGGGCGGTGGTGGTGGTGGTGGTGGTAATGGCGTCGGCAGCAGCAATGGTCTTGGCATTGACGGTAATCACCATAAATCTTTGTCTCGCTTCAGCGCTTATAAACCGAACGTGCATAAAACGCTAACAGCCGCTGCCGCATTGAGCGCGACGAGAACCACAGCGCCGCCGCCATTTATATGGCATGCAGCGAGTGACGGCATGGGGGGTGGTGGTGCCGGCTTGGCCGACACAACCACAGCAACAGCGGTTACGGCAACGCCGAGTAGCGGCAGCAGTGACGAAGGAGATGGCATAGCAAATGGCGGAGTGGGTCGCACAATTAGCTCCTTCGTCTATCATCGAGTGATTGATGCGTCACCGCGTCTGGTGGGCACCGGCGCCACGGGACGCAAGCAACGATTGCCATTTGTGGCTATCACCGATCGCCGGCTAGAGACTACGAGGAAGGCGCTGCTGGAGCGGCAAAAAGATTTCGAACAGAATCACTACCCAATGCCTTAAATTCACTGCACTGCAAGGACTGCGGCAGCGAACGTAACTTGGACATAGACGGAGACGAAGACGAAAACGAAAACGATACCGAAAACGGGAGGGAGACAGACGCAGCGACGATGAAAATAAAAACGAGCACAAGCACTTGGACGAAGACAGAAATGTAAGCGTGAATCAAATTATTGACACAGACGGCGATTTAAAAGCGAATGCAGAAGAAATAGTAAAAAGAGAAAAAGATAATATAACAAATAGTATTTAAGAAGTTTAAGTCAGAAAAGTGAAAAAAGCATACAGACTTAAAGCAAAGCGGAATAAAATGCAGGCCAATTTCATTGCACTACCGCAAAATGCACAAACAGAGCGCGAAAGTAGACACAAACAACAGCTGCTTGTGCAACTCAACACACCACACAGCAAATGAAGCAAAGCAACTAAAAAAATTAAAAAAAAAAAAATCTTACGAAAAGGCGATTTCATTAGTTCTCGCAACACCCGTTGAATTGAATAACTTTTCTTTTACTAGAATCAGAAAATCTACCGAAAACATGCAATGCTGCTCGAAAACGATTTTGTATATAAATTGATTTTGACTTTTTGATTGGCAAATTGAACTTTTTCGATTTTATTTTCAACAAACAGAGTTACAAGTTTTTACTAACAAATATTTACTTACATAAATATGTACATCATCTACACATACATATATTTATGCATTCTTCTGTATTAAGCTTTAATAGAATTAAACTAAGATCAGAATTTTTATGCCCAGAAACAACCCGAACCAATCTTACAATAATAAGCATACGCAAGAGAGCAGCCGATACAGAGATTGCAACAGGAAGAAGAAACATTTATAAGAGCGTGCATATGTAAATGCATACACATACACATTAGGGTGGTTCTTAAAAAATACTAACATCAGGAGGCAGCACCTTATAATAAAGACTTACACGGAAATTAAAAAAAAAATATAAGGACAAGTTATTTTTAAGCATAAACTCAATCGACTTCAATGCTCATATACAAATTTAGGATTACCGTTAATTTCTTCATAAACCAATGATCGAAACTATCCCAAAGTAGTAGAGGACCACCCCTGAAGTACCATTTTTCCGATAAAAAAGAGAAATACCGATGAGTTGTTAGCCTCCTCCTTTTTTTAAGTCGGTTTCAAATCTTGGGAGTTTTAAAAAATTTAAATTTTTTTAGATCCCGAAATATCGACAAAATTTTGACTTTGGCCGACTATAACTCAGTGAATTTATGAATTCGCGTGAATATGTTTCAATAACATATATGTAAAACTTATCAGATTTACAGCCGGTTTCACCAGCAATTTAAATGGAAAATGATGTTTTTTATTTTCTGTCAAACTCCACATAAAATTCAAAAAATTAAAATCATTTTACATTTAAATTGCTTTCTTGAAATTCGATGTTAAAGTCAAAATTTTTTAAAATTATTGCGATTTAAAAAAAAAGATGTATCCGTACTCAGTTAGAAATTTCTAAATATTTTTTTTTATTTCTAAAATTTTCGGGGATGTCTATAGTTTGTACTTAGAGCAAAATAAATGTCTGCTCCATACAGAATTTAAATGTTAATATTTTAAGGAAAATCCCAGAAACATACATACACACATACCTACACACTCATTAGTTGAAAAGTTGCATTACCCCACCAAATTCTGAATCCACCATAAACCTTCACGAATGTTTACTTTAGAAGCTTGACAAATTACTTCCAAATAAAAGAAGCATTGATTTTCTAAATGCCTTATTTGCATATGTGTGTACATTTCGTTGGTCCTGTGCAATAACGACACAATTCAAAATTCAAAAACAAAAATTTTGAATTGTGTAGTTATTCCACAGAACCATCGATATACATATAACCCTAACGTGAAAAGTCTATACTCGCTTCATTTGGCCTGGCGCTGGACCGGCCCATTGCCAGTGCATTTTACGATGATGACTGAAGCTTCATTGCTAAGAGCTCTCTGACGAAGCAGACGCTTTAGACAATCAGCGACTGGGCTGCAAAGGTTAAGCGGAGAAGCTCTACTTTACACTATTCACTAGGAAATACAAGATCCCAGTGCAGAGCAAACAACTGTTAGTGGAGACCACTTTAGAACCAAATCCAAGCAAAGGGTGCCTGGAAAACTTACTGGACAGCAAACTTTAGTTGAAACTGAATGTGACAAGTGGATAAAGAATGCATTGGCGTCAACCTTGGCAGAAGGAATAGACCAAGCGGTGCCGTACCTGAGTTTCAAAAGTCCTCTTGAAGCTATGAAAGTGTTGACAATAATTATCCGCATTACAGTTGCAATGCTTAAAATGTTATTTCTCCGTCAAGACTTCGCCACTGTTACATTTAGGGGATTCACAAGACGTGTTAACCGTCGTAAAATCTTAAGGTTAACATCTTTTTTAATTAAAATGGTTTTAGGGGATTTCTAACTAAACCGAAATTCTTTTAAACTGATAAAGAATATATAATTAGCCAACCCCCCAACCATTTTAACCGCTATTTTACATAAACAAGTGTTAAGCTTAAGATTTTACGACGGTTAACACGTCTTGTGAATCCCCTAATTATTTTTCTTAGACTTATTTATTTATATCGTAAAACTTCTAAACCAGCAATAGACAGTCAAATGAGTGCTGGCTGAGTTATATATATAGACAAGGGTAATTTAAGTGCACTTGTGTCCTTTATGTGTGGCCGTTAATTGTGTCAGAAGGTGTTCAATATCGGCACTATAAAGGAATGTCGCAAGTATATTAAGCTGCCAATCAATTTGGATCAACTGTGCAAAAGGATATGGTTCTTAATTTAAGTGTATTGGAGTCACTCTTTGTAAGAATGTCAAAGCTAACGAAGTAGTGGGACCTGCGGTCTACTGCTCTGAACCAAGAATTAGCTGGTCTTGTAAGCAACTGGATCGTTATAGTTTTTTTCAAGCCAAAATTATGGCAATAATGAGAGCGAGAGAGATACGATTGAAATATAGTTCATTTTCTATCAAAACCCATATAACTGCAAGTTTCAAACCTTGCAGAAAATTACAAAAAAGGTTCAAAATTTCAAACTTTTTTCTACGATTTTTTGAGTGCGCAGTTTTTTAGCCCATTGACATTTAGAAAGTGTAATTTTGAAGTAGCTACAAATTACCATTGACTTAAAAAAAATTTTTTACTCACGCTCTTGCGCAATTTTTTCCCTACATACAACGCATACTCACATTCCTTTAGAAAGATTTCGAGTAGGCAATTTCGTAGCCGATTTAATTCTAGTATAAAAAGTCCAAGTTTTCCGTAAGTAGAGCTTACCGTTGATTTTAGACATTTTTTTCGTTAAAGGTATCTCCATACTCTAAAAAAATCGAAGTCCTGGTCTATATTAGGCCTTTAATGGCCAGCCAGCATAACCTTATCTAGCGTAACCTGGCATTTACAAAACTTCGTCACACAATCACTACACTCCGCGCTAAAAATTATTCAACCATATTACAAAAGCCCAAGAATAAGCCCTTCTTCTAAGTCCTGCCGTCTGCTCATAATTTTTTCGAAGTAGACTTTCAGTGCAGAACACTTAAAACAAGACTGGGTAACTCATGTCTGCCTGGATCAAAGCTTCCCGAGAGTGCGAAAACTGAGACTTTTAACTCTCTAGCGTTAAACTCAATCAATGGATTACCATGCTAATTTATACAAAGAGTTTCAGCAGCTTTTATGAGACTATGTCTGCTTCATTTAAAGTTCACTTTTATATAATGCTTTAAGTTTTCACAGTCGGCTTGCACATAATTGTTTCATAACTAAAATTATGTACAATCATCCGAGCAAATTCATCTACAATTCACCTTTGTTCGCACATCATTGAACTGCTGAAATAATTAACTGGAAGTTAATTTAGATTTCAATTGTCGATTGTACCCATATACTATAATATGCACTTATGTATTATACGATTTCACTTGACTGCACCATTTGCATACACATCACTCAAACAAGCATACTATATATCACATAATTACGGTGACCATCCGTCCTGTATTATAGGGGACAGTCCTCTTTTTTGATCCATTGTCCTGGAAATTTATTTATTTTATAGGGCACGCCAAACGTTCTGTATTTCTTTTAATGTCCTGCATTTGTCCCGTATTTTGAGTTTGATGCATTAACAGCTCATTAAAATGGCATGCCTATGAACAAGTTTTAAGTGATGTTGGTATATGATCGTAATTTTCTCCATAAACAGTTATTATTTTCTAATCTTAATGCCTGTGATTCGAATCGAGGAATACATACAGGGGGCTAAAATAGAAATTAGGACAAGAGATTTTAGTAATTTTTGTCCATTTCTCCTTAGTTTATTTAAGGTTTATTATTTATTTTATGAAAGTAAAGCTTTTTCCTAACAAAAAGCATATAATACCAAATTTCCAACTTTGTGCAAAAAACTATAAAAATTAAATCTGCAATGTTTCACCAAAATTTCAAACGTTTTAACTAGAATCTGTAGAAAAAAATTTGGTTTGCAGTTTTGTAACTCATTAAAATTCAATATAATAAAGTGCGAGTGGTAAGTGCTGCCCATTTGCTTCTCTTTCTAAAAAAAGGGGTCGAACATACTTACCTTGTATGAAAAAATGCATAACACCGTCAACAAAAAAAAAAGTTTCCAAAAGTTAATGGTAAGCCTTAGCGACTTAAAGTTGGTCTTTATTATATTAAAATTTAACGAATTGTTTTAAACAAATTTCATGGGGTCTCGTCTCAAAGTCTCGTGCATATGTCAACTACAACTGACGCTGATGGTGTTTCTGCTGTGTTATTGAAAAATTGCTCTTCTCTGATTGCTCCGTTACTGCATATTTTTAATAAGTCTCTGTCTTCTGGCATTTTTATAGATGCTTGGAAATTAACTTTTATCACGCCTATCTTCAAGAGCGGCAATAAAAGCAACATTGAAAATTATAGGCCGATTTCCAAACTAACCACCGTGTCGAAATTGTTTGAGTGTATAATTAAGGATAAAATATATTTTGAGGTAAAACACTTGCTTTGTCCTCAACAGCATGGATTTGTTCCGGGTAGATCTACCCTAACTAATTTAGCAGAGTTCACCGAAGATTGCCTGGATTCTTTTCAAAAAGGATTTCAGATTGATGCGGTTTACACGGACTTTTCAAAGGCCTTTGACAGAGTATCCCATAGAGTTCTTTTAGCTAAACTGGAAATACTAGGATTCCACTCTCTATTACTGAGGTGGATCTCATCCTATTTAAACAACAGACGTTGTGTCGTTCGCCTCGACGGTGCGTCTTCTTATTCTTTCGTAGCTTCCTCTGGGGTTCCCCAGGGAAGCGTCCTCGGTCCCTTGCTGTTTATTCTGTTTATTAATGATATTTCCTCTTGCTTC